CAATTTACAAAATTTCTAAGTTTTTAAACAGCCACAACACAATTTTTTCTTCCCAACAATAAATAGTAGTCGCATAAATAAAGTTAGTTTTTTGAAAAAAAAAAAAAAAAACTAATCTATTTATTCATCGGTGCCTAATTCTCAACGATTTTTAAATGTTTTATTTTTTTTTATTTTTTTACTAAACTCTTAACTAAAAAACCGCATGTAGCTCGCGAGCCGCAGGTTGCCGACCCCTGCCCTAGTGCATTAACAATAAAAAAAAAAAAACAATAAATAAATAAATAAATTAATAATTAAACATACAAATCATCGCCCCCCACCCTCCCAAAAAATAGGATTTCTACTATCAAAGTTTTTTTTTTAATTTGTTTAAAAAATTCATCATCTATCGAAAGACAACTTTGAAACAATTTAAATGAGAAACTGTCATAAAAAAAATAATAATTAAAAAAATAAAGAAAAGGACGAGTGTACGTGGGGGTGAGAGATAGGGAAGGAGAAGGTGGAGTGAGCTTAATCAGGCTTGTTATTAACAAGTGAGCTTTCGAAAGGTAAGAAAAGAGATTGGCCAAGGTGATGTTACTTTAAAGAGGGGGATGCTTTCTTGCGGTATATTGTTCGACGTAAAGGAGAAGGAGAGTCATGAAATAACAAAAAGAAAATAAAAGAAAAAAAACATGGAATCGAAACGAAACCGGTAAGTGACCAACCGTTCGTTCGATTCGTTCGTTCATTTTTTCGGTCTCTTCGTAGGTAAAGAAGAAAGAAGGGATGGGATTGGTCAGCTTACTTCGAACTTACTTGCTTTATTTACAACTACTTTTTACAATTAAGGGAAATAACGAAAACAAAACATCATCAATTATTATATATTTATTTTTATTATTTTTACTTTATGTAGGGGTATCTTTTGAAACGATTCCAAATTTATAAGATCCTTTATTGAATTAGGTTTTTTGAGTTATATATTTATTTATTTGTATATATACATTTTGTAGTTTTTTTAATTTTATTTTATGTAGGGGTGTCTTTTAGCATGTGGTTCCAAATTTATAAAACCGAATATTAGATTAGGTATTTATTAAATTAAATATTTATTTTTATATACACACATTTTGTAGTTTTTAAATTTTATTTTTTTAGGGATATCTTTTAGCATGGTCCTAAATTTATAAAACCCAATATTAGATTAGGTTTTTATTAAATTAAATATTTATTTTTATATACATATACTTTTCTTTTTTATTTAATTTTATGTAGGGATATCTTTTAGCATGGTCCCAAATTTATAAAACCGAATATTAGATTAGGTTTTTATTAAATTAAATATTTATTTTTATATACATACATTTTGTAGTTTTTTAAATTTTATTTTATGTAGG